CCTCGCGCTGTGTGTTCTAATAAAGCTTACGAATTGATATTTATCTTATTGCACCAGGCGTGATTTAAAACTTGATGTTCTTATAAACAAAATTCGCCTCTATCAGTATAATTCTACATCGTCATTTTTTACTGTCCGATGGACAAAGTAACGCATGAGCTGTAGGTGCACATACACAAGCTCCTTTACTTCTGGTTCCTTTTTAAATGTCCTGCACGGCCGCAATCTCACCGGTAAATTCTATATACCCATCAGGATCAAGGGAAATAGAACCCCCACTATCACGATGTTGAAGATTTGGCTTATGCAACGTATCTTGCGTCGCTGTGTCATCAGTAGACGACAACGCGCTGGTTGCTAACGAGTGATTCTGAGCAGGTAACATTTGAGATATGTTTCCATAAGGACGCTCTTGGTTGTCGTGAACAATAGGAGAAACAGTTTGTGGTGGTTTATCTTCCATTGAAAGCTTTTCCTCGGAGATGGACGGTGGTGGGGGTACAACAGATGGACGCCTCTTTTCCGGAATCTCAGGCAGTCTTCTCTCAATTGAATGCATTTTTATTGGTCCAATGAACCTTGCCCCAGAGGAGTGGGTCGCAGATGTGCTCACCGTTCGAGCTACAGAATGATTTCCAAGAGTTTTCCCTCTTCCGTCATTAGTAGAAGGGGGCAGGCTCGTAGTTCGATGAAAACCTCGAGTTGTTACAGTGGATAGTTTCCTTTCTGGTGTAGGTGGTGGCTTACTACTTTCTCGGACCCTTATTTCTTCATAGGGTGCTGGCCATGGAGTGGAATCAACTGAAGCTTGGTGGGATCGCCTTAGATCGTCAGGTTCTTCATAATATTCATCGAAGTCGGAAGATTGAGTCTGGGCTTCTGGAGGAAGAGGTGCTGGTGGACGTTTAGTGATATTAGAGGTGTTCTCGAAGTTTTCAGGATCTATGATGTATTCCGTGGATGCGCTGGTGTCCTTTCTGGTGGGTGGTTGACTGTAGCTACGAAAATGTCTTAACGCCTGGGAAAAAAATTAAAGGAAAAAGATGCTAAGCTACGAAATTGGTATAAATCAAAAAGTAAAATAAATTTCACATCAGCCATTTGTGAAATTTCTATCCGTCTCGTGGTCGTCGGTTGCAAGTATTACATTTTTCCGACAACGAAATTTAATAAAGATAAACATACAATCAACATAAAGAAAATGCAATTTATAAAATTTGAAAAGATAAAAATAGGAACGAATGCCTTTATTCTTAGTCTTGGGTAGTAACGAATAGATGTATCTTACAAATCATCATTCCTACCGTAACAGGATCAAACCCATAAAAAAAAATATAAAGTGTTCGGATATATGTTCAGTCCTCACCAAGATCGAAACCATTACTACCACAGCTAAAGCAGACAAGCATCCTGTGACAATCCCAGCAATAGCTCCAGACGACAACTGATTCGAATCATCGCTCAGTTTACTGCTGTTTTTTCGATCGATAGGGCTTGATGGTTTTGGACCTTGAAGATCAGTTGGACATACTCTTTGTTCAACTGTAAATGAAAGGCATTACAGAAAATTGTTAAGGCGCTTTCTTATAATAATTTTTCGATTAAAAAGGTTAAAAATCTCGTTTTAACTACTTTCAAGCGACACACGAGCAACGTCAGTCTCTTTGCAATTTCGATACGTGATCGAGCATAATGAGGTAGTGGGAACAGACAAAATAAATTAAACTTAAATTTCTCTTATCCTGTAAAATATGAAATCTGCAGCAACTAAAGGGTAGAAGTGGGAGTTAAACCCTAGGAGCGCTGATAAATATGATTCTATCGGTTGACCAATTATATTCAAATAAGGTAGAGGCTGACCTTCCTTTCCTCTGAAGCACACCTCAGCAGCAGCGCAGTACGGTTTAATCAGTGGTATATCATCCTTGTCGTGTTTGCACCAGTAGCATCCCACAACGCCTTCACACTCTTGTGAAGTGTTCCTTTCACCACAGTGAGGAATGAAACACTTTTCTAACCCAGATCCGGAGGTGCAAGGAAAGGAAGGGGTAGAGTCACTCGTTGGTTTAGCACTTGGTAATGGAGGTGGGCAGATTGGGAGGCTGGAGATTGGAATGAATAAGTTAGGTGAAATTATACGCGTAATACAGTGTATTCAATATAATATAATACACCGATTAAAAACTGTATTCTTGATTTTTCAAGTTTTTCGTATCGGAAGTTTTTGTAACCATTTCATTTGGAAGGGCGGTCTACAGGGCATACAGCGAATTTTGATTATTGATCTTAAGTATCATAAATTGATTTCTATAGTATTGAATGTTTCACCATATGTATGTTAATGTTAGCTTTATCAAACTGCTTCAAGGTGCCTACAGCAACTAACCTGCTTTCGGGGAAAAGGTTACGACAATAATGAAACTCCAGGCGGGAGGTGCAAGGGCACTCGCACGTAGGGTTAAGAAGAGAGCACTCGTTATCTGATGAACAGGGACATGCCTCTGGAGGGCAAAATGAGTCTCTTATAGCAACTCCTGTGAATTTAAAAAAGTGTTAAGTTATTCCAACTGATACAGAAATAAGCAGACAAACAGAGAAGGATGAAGGAAGGACACAAAGAGAGTCAGACAGAGAGAGTCATAGAGAAGGAAAACAAACAAACAGAGAAAGATGGAAAGACGGACTCGGAGAGAACTCGGGGCCTGACGAAATAGTTTAAAGTATGACATACCTAAGTAGGAATTGGTTCCTTTGATTTGTCTTAGCTGGTATTTCGAGCATCTTACATCACTTGCAAGAGTGTCTACTCCAATTTTTGTTAGGTTAACTTCATAAAAGCTTTGCTTCTGAATCTCATCCAGATGGCGGCACTGCTTTTTTATCAAGTAATTTTTCTTGATGAGGTCTTCGGCGATGTGTTTTTCTTTCTCTGTGATATGCACATATTGTACGTCTGACGCTGTAGCCGAGGGAAGTAAGAAGTCCTCGTGCATGATAAGAAAGCCAGCGCTGTCCATTACGAAACAAGAGTATGATTTGGTCTCCTTACATTTTGGATACACATCAGTTAGTAACCTGTATTTAATGAGATATAAATATAATGAGGTACATTATGAAGACACTTGTTATGAAATATTATTGGGGAACGTTTGAAGACAGTGTTTATTTCACTCGTGAGACTCCATGTTCTCTCTGTTGCGTTCTTGCTTCTCCAACAGTTTTACATCTTAAAAATTTCGCGAAAAGTTTTCAAGTTTGCCTGTTTGCAATTCACGGCGGTCTTTTCCCTGCTTGACTACGTGCCTTGTTTAAGGTTTACGTCAAATTTTGGGATTTTTTCTGTCTTACCATGCTTATGCTTTGTAGTTTCTTTCACGTTATAGCAGGCATTTCGTTAAGAAGAAATTTCTCGTGATTAAGATAGCTTCTTTCTCATAGTAACAAGATGATGTAACGACTATATAATAGTTATGTACCTATGGAAATACGTGATGGGAAAGTCAGCCCCCATAACTCCCAACACTTCATCATTGGTATTGTGAACGTGACTCGACTCTCCGCGATACAAGGTTCTGCCAGCGGTTATCACTACTCCAGCTCCTCCCAAATCAAAGTATGGAGTTGTAAGAGCTATCAGTCCTGTGTGAGACAGGGCGGTAAGATACCTAAAAGGATTGCAAATCAGTTCAAAGATTTAATTATGTTCTTTCTTTATAAGGATCAACTCATCCAGTCATAATAACAAATGTTTATCATCAGAGGTTGATTTTAATTGAAACGTTGTCGAAAATATGGCTTTATAAATGTACTTCATAACGGTCGTTTAACCGAGCCACAATACGAATGGTGCTGGTTGTAAATATAATTTATATTTTATTTATATGGACTGTTAAGAGGTGATCGTTGTTCAACTGTGTCTATTAGAGTAAAGTACAAACCTGATGGAAAATAGAAGTACATTTTCAAAAGCTATGGCCAGTTTTTGATACGACACGAAGACCTGATAAACCCGATTCAACGAGTGTATGGAAGAAATGCAAGGTTAGACTCTTGTTAATGACTGGAAACTTTGCCTTACTAACCAGGGTCTCTGTCTTGGGTCGTAAAGTTTGTTTTCAATTGTGCCTGGAGTGAACCTGAAAACTCCATTTGATGTCCCAATGTAACGCCAAACCAAATACTGTGTGAGGTCAGTTTTTTCACGCAGCCACAGGTCTTCCACTTTCCATGTTGCTCTCACTGTGCCCCTGATATCATTTTTTAGGCCAGGATTGGCTACACTTCCTTCCTCATCTTTCATATAAGCATTCAATAGCTCAACATCAGCTTTTGTTTCATCGATACCAATGTAGTTGTAGGGGTCTTTGTACGCCCCTGGAGCAAACTTGACCACTGTTGTGTCTATCAAAGACAAAGTGCATAATGTGTAAACTTGGGACCATTAAGAACGAGCAGTTTTTGAAATAAATTGGGACTTATGCAGCTAGCGGTTGGTGATCCCGCTTTCTACATGGCCAAGGTAACTGAAAAGGGTTATCATAAAACATAAATGCCTTTTGGATATTAAAAAAAAATCGTAAGCACATTATTTATACTGTGTTTTTTCCGGGAAAACAAATCACAAATAGTTAAGATTAGTAACAATCGGATGGAAATAGCCTCGTTTACCTTTTGTCGCGGTAATTCCAAAATGAGAACATAGTTTTCCAGGATTGTATAAGTCGATTCGGTGGTAATCAAACTTGTATCCTATAGAAATAGCAGCAAGATTTAGTCTATTATTATACCTATCGTCATGCTCATGTTCCCAACAGATAAGGTCAAGCATGCGCGGTGAAACCCAAAACCAGCCAAACCATCTGAAATACATATTCGACCCGCAGATGGGAAACACGAAGAACAACTCTGTTCCATTACTAAATCAGATTTATACTTTTCCTAAAACGAAGTAGGTATTTATGAAAGATCTCAATATCCTTTACAGCCTTTCTTACTATTTGCTGTACATTTTCTCCAGCTTGCTTTCAAGTTAACGTCCATGCAGAGAACGAGTCTGAGAAATACTGAATTCATTCGTAGCTCATCAAAATTTAGGCCGAGCTTAATTTGAAAATCTCTCTCAAGCAAGGAAAAAATGAAAAAAGGACACAGGACGTTTATTGTAGGCAAAAAGGTTAAGTCTAGAAAAAACTTGCCGCTTGAAATTGAAGGCGAACTTAGCTCATCCTTAGAATGGGATACTGGTACTACGACGCCAAGAGAGAAGTCGATGTCCTCGATTGGTGTCCAGAAATATGTAGTATTAACTTCCTTCATTGTCACTCCCTCCTTTTCTGTTCCACCTCGTGGCAAAAATCGCTTTGCAACATACGTTTTCGAACCTCCAATTCTCCTGAGTGGGCAGAAGAATATAATGCGTGTAAAACTAAAGAACCCAAGAGTTTTATCAGATTGACCACCAGTTTCCTTATTTACGGTCAAATTTCTTAAATCCGTAAGGAATAAAAGGAAATCAAAGCCTCTAAGCCACTCTTGGAAATTGGAAAGATATACCCCAAACCCATGTACAAGAAATTATAAAATTAAGTCCTGTTCATTGGTCATAGACTGACTGCGAGACTCATTTCGAAGTTGTGAGCTTTGCTGTGGATAAACGATGGACATAAATGATTGAAACATTCTTGCTTACTTTTGAATTGACTCAAAGACTTCGATGAAATCTTTCTCTGGTTCCAAGGCTCTGATGTCCAAATAAACAGGCTCACCGTAAGCGTGAGTGGGCTCTGGGAGAAGAGGATGTATGAGGGTCCTACCGGAATTGGTGATCATGAACGCATAAGTACTCTGGCCTTGATTGAAAAAAGTTATGTCTGATAACAAGTCTTCAATATTGATGTCAGTGCCTGTTACACCGATAAATTCTCCGTTATGAAAACAGGGCAGGGTAATCGACATCAAAAGTCCTGCAAAACATAGTAAATAACCAAAAAATTATATGATATCATCAAAAGATAACAAAAGAAATGAAAACAGTTTAATAAAATCGAACATTGGAAGGGTTGATAGTTACCTGTTCCAAAGGCATCAATGTACGGAACAGATACAACTGGATCGAACCGGATCCCCAGTGAAAACAAATTGTAATACTTAGCCATTTCACCTCTCAAGTTGTTTATGTCTTGCACGAATTTGTATCTTCCAGGCTAAGAAACAATAATTTTGCAATAATTTTTTAGTAAAAAAATAATGAATTATTGACTGTTACTCTAAGTTAATTGTGAACAATACTGCGAGGACAAAGGGAACTCTCTTCCTTCGTGTTTGCCCAACCCTCTCTCCTGTCCAAAGATAATACAAATGTCTTGTGGCAAGAGATGATAAAAAAAATCTGTTAACACCCTAAAACAAAATGTTCATCATGGTGGTACATGTCAAAACTTACTGTGATATCACCAACAGAGACGTTGGCAGGTATTCCATACTTTGGTGTGTTTTGTATCGCTATGTCCTCAAGAATCGCGGAGTCAGCCTCTCCAAATCCATATGTTAGGATAACAACAGAGTTGTTGAGCGCAAAGTTTTCATCTCTGATGGTTTGAAAAATATCTTTTACGGGATCAGCTGGAGCGCCATCCGTCAAGAATAAGATGACTCTCTTCTTACCCTTTCTCTCCTCCCCAGAAATTGAGTTCTTGAGCAGACTGAATGCTTTTTTAAAAGCTTGTTTGTAATTGGTGGAACCTGAAATAATTAAATAACTAATTAATTAACTAATTAATTAATAAATGGCTGAATAATTTTAAACACACCTAGTTGCAAAATGTAGAACGAATTCCCTATATAGATAAATGACAAGAAGTAGAAGGACAGGAAATATCAAAGCTTAAAATTTCCGGAACAGACTTCATGAAGAGCCATTTGATCAGTTGGTGCAAGGCCGGCTCGATTTCATCTCTTGTTGAGTGGGTAGGGGAAGGGTGAGAAAATCGTAGAGTTATTTCGATTATAGTAGCTGGTAATCTAGCCAAAGATGTTGTCTCAGCAGGCAATTGACAATAATCTGCACGTTTTTCCAGCATCCTTTTCAATGATGTAAATCGTTTATTTTTCGTTGATATACCGCGTTTTTTTCTGTACGTATAAGACATCGATACAGGATCGCAAACTGCAGCAAAAGCAGAAAACTGATGTAAGACCCATGAGAGTCTCCACTGATGAATCCGGAATATATTTTTGACTTCAGTGATAGTAGACCTCGTCATAAACATAGAACAGAAGAGATCACGGCGCAATTACTGTAAAGACTTGTGATCGTTTCTGTTAACAGATATCAAGCGCTAATATATTTCCTGATATATTTGAAATATGATGTGTCAAGGTTCTTACCATGTGGTATCAGGTTGCGTACGTATCTCTTCATCTCTTCAATATTTGTAGGGATCGCCTGGGCCAGCCTTTCACTGTAGCAAGGGCTTTTTGTTCCAAGTTCTCCTGGTGTTGAAACGTCATCGTTGAATGACACAATTCCAATCTGAAATTAGCCAAATAGTTAATGTTATTATCGTATACCCGTAAATAAAACTTTTTCCTCAGAACCTTGAAAAGTAGATGATTTTTTTGTATGAGGTGCTGCAAACTAGGAGTTCACAGTGGAATCACACTCAACCCGATATCATTACGGTGTGTCGGTGGCTTCAAATTTACCGAACACGATAACCTTAACTTAATTTTCCACCGGTCCTCGTTCAGAGACTTTCGCGATTTTCTGTGAACGACGGATAATGTCGAGCGAAGGATTCTTGTTTGCGAATATATTTGCTCGTCGAGTATCGTTCGAAACTCTTTACGGTGGCAAATGAACGTTATCAACTCAGTTGATAATACTAAAATTACCCATTATATTGATAGCCTCGGCAAATGCATTTGCCGAAACCTTGGGACGAGGAAGAACGCACCTGGTCCTTGGGGTTCATTGTTTCCAACACTGTATTAGCAGCCTGGATAGCGCCGGTAAGTTTTGTCGTGTCCATAGATGCACTTGTATCGATGACGAGCACCACATCTTTCGCTTCAGGCGTGGCAGTTTCCACGTAAAATGGTCTGAAACGAGGGTCATATCTATCACAAGGGTCTTTATCGTCATACACTGGAAAATTGGTCATGACTCCTTCTTCTGACCCAAAGTACTGCCACTTGATAAAAGGATACGTTCTTGAGATATCTTTCATTTCACTGACCACTCCTTCATCTAAATAGCGTGGATTTGGCTGGGCACTGCCAGAGATTTTTAAGCACACATTGTCCATGTCCACTTTAGAACGGAATCGTACATCATATTTCAAAGAAGATTTGTTTACCATACAGCATTCTTTCTGTGGAGATACCTGAACAGACTCTGTCCTGGCATACGACTCCTCCACGGCCTTTTGAAGACGTTTGGCAACTTCAAACCTTACTTTAAATTTGTCAGACAGTTTGACGGCAAGTTCAGGGGTAATGACCTCTCCCCGTATCGTCCTTTCATGATACTGAAGACCATCAAGATAATTCTAAAAGATAGGTGAGAAGGACGGAAACCTGTTTTAGTGGTGATTTATCCTATACATTCAAAAGGAACAATGCATAGGAATAAAAGAAAATATTTTTTTTTGTTTTGTTTTGCTTTTATAACGAAAACAATTTGGCTTCTTGAGAGTTTTGGGTCACTAACTACATAAAAGGGAATATTTATAGGTTGGGTGACGTGAACTAGTTATGAAAACAGGAACTTAATTGATCAATCGTGACTTCGCAATTCCGGCACAGGAACATAAAGATATAAAAAATATATCATAATTAAACGTCTATGATCAAATGTGACTTTAATTAAAACATAAAATTACCGAGACACCAGTATACCTGCCCTCAAGTTCAAGAAAGTTCGGGATAAAGAATTTAAAACTTTTATTGGTCCGGCATGGCGCTTATTCAAACGTGATGGGGCATTTTCAAAATAGTCATTTGTACTGTGCTGTATGATGACAAAAGAATGGGAAATAACAAATTCCAATTTCAAACTTAAACTTTTAAAGAGCAGGACTCAAACTCTAGGTCGCAGAAATTTTTCAAGATCACATAACACATTGCTGATGATGGGAGAGAATATAGAAATTTAGCCCACCTGCATTTCTTCCACTCCAAGCGCGTCCCTGGCAAACTTTTGAAGTTCTACCCCAATAAGGGAAGGATCTAGCAAACCTGAGGTAACATGGAAGGCGAAAATGGAGAGTAAAACCACGAGAAAAGTTCCCATTCGGCGTACATCCATCGCAGATCTTAAAGACAAGTATTCCGCTTTGCTACTTACTCCCTTTACCACCCGCGTCCCTCAGGTCAGAGTTTAAACGTATATTTTACGATTTATGTAAGTATTGTTCGTAAAACTAATATATTTGCGCATGATTGATTCCATTGTTGGTCTAAAACATTTCTGTTCATAATTATAGTTTGTGGTCTGCCGACTGCGCCTTTAGATGACATACTTCCTGCCAAAACGGGTCGTTTTACCCAAGTATTTTGCAAAGAACAGTTTTAAATAAGCCTACTTCTTTACAGTTCAACATTAAGACGTGTTTTCAGTAAAACTCATCGGCTTCACTGAAAAACAAGAAAAACAATTTCATGTTCACGATCTCTGTCGGGAATTTAATAGCGACAAGTGAAATTACTTTCCCTGCGTATAAACAATGAAGCATCAACATCAATGAAGCGTTTATTGGTAATTATGTTTTTTTTACACCAATACATTCTGAGTCATTTTGTTTACAGGTGGCTTTAGGTAACGGATAGAAAGGTAAAAAAAGATTCCCACCTCGCGTTTAACTCTAGAAACCTCATTGCCACTTTGCGGGTGTTTTCCGATATAGGACATACAGCTTTTCTCGTTTCACACTCATATTTACATGCCATTTTTTTGCCATTTTGTGTAGGTGATTGTGACGAACGTACGTATTTGGCTTATGTCTCATTGTTGTGCAGCCGATAAATGTAAATTTTCGATCACTTCACCAACCAATAGCTTAAGATAACGGAAAAGAAGAAATAAAGTTAAATATCCACTTTGCAGTTTTTCTGCCGTTAACCTTATCACGGTGTAAGTGGAAGGCCATTAAAATTTGAAATATGAGTTCCTCTGCCTCTTATATTTGCAACTCTATTTTCGACTTTTGTGTGATATTACAAAAACACACCAAACTTTGTATGGTAGAAAGAGATTTTCAGGGACAGCATGGCAAAGAAAACTTGTCTAAAAAGATTATTCTAATGTTACCAATTGACGGTTCCGTTTAGAAACTGCCTGAGGCTGTACGTCAACCATGTGCAGAGTTCATCATCTTTCTTTATGTATTTACCGATAATTATCATTCATAGGAAAAGAAAGTTGACCTCCGCGGGAACGACAGAGTAAAAGCTGAAATTAAGTCCATTTAGACTACAGGAAGTTAAAATGGAATCATTTAGAAAGCTCTACCGCATAAATTCACAAGGAGTGGGTTTTGGCACGAAGTACAATCACGTTCTTAAGAAAAATATGAAAGGTAGCGGAAGGTAACTGGTGATACAAACAAGCAAATTTTTCCCTCAGCTTGAACAAACAGAAACAGCAGAGTAGTTGAAGTAGTCATTGACGTAGTTTAACTGTTTATATGGGCCATTCAAGCGAGTTATTTTGTTTCTCGTCTTCTTGTTTATTGAGTTCTCTCGATGTGATCGGCACTCCCTAGAGTTTTTAGTTTCACTTAGCAAGCACATAATTTTTGGTCCGAGTACTTTGAATAAAGATTATTAGTGTAAGATATTTTTTATGCACCCGAAAAACGTTTTGCTACCGGTAACTGGCTTAGAATAATTATTTTAAAAGAATGTTTGACGTCAGAAATATTGGCTGTGGTTTATATGCTTGATTAGATTTAAAAGAGAGAACGCAATGTGGAGTCGAGGAGAGTTGGTCTAAAGCCCTTGGTAGACTGGAATAACTATTGTTTGGGTGAGGCCATCTTCAGGTGTACGATTTTTTGGAGAGAAACACAGATAATACCATGTATCGGTGACAAAAAGTATCCTTTTTTTTCCTTCGTTTTTGCTATATTGAACGTCTGCATTCGAACGTGACGTGGTTTATCTTCCGCTCTGTCTTCATGGTAACAGCTGATACAAATCAAAACAATTGACTCTTTGTAACGTTTTAATTAAGCTAGTTACAAGATTCATTTGAAAACTGCGACATAGCAGTTTAAAGTTCCCTTTCAATGCTTTGAGTCAAGCATTTTGTACCGAAGTATAAAACGCTGAAGCAGAAAGATCAATCAAAATGAGTTCGACTTTCTTGCAAAAGGAACACATAAAATAAACTGTACATTTAGAACAATATTCCGCGGTAACATTTGCTATTCAGCAATTCATTACGAGTCAATACTCTTTGAAACATTGTCCGTCATTACAAGTTACACATCAATGCAAATTATGTTATTGTCAGGATCAAGAACAGTAGAGTCGCAACTCTCTTGTCTCGTAAGAACGTTTACTGGTGTGTTAGAATTATGCGGCAGCTCATTAACCTCAACAGAGGAAGGCGTCGTAGCTTTGGATGGCCTCCCGTCAGAACCTTTTTGTGTTACGTTGCTATCAGGCTGCTGCACATTATTAACTTCCTGGGTAGTGTAACCAGCATCAAATGCCGAAGTCTGCTGCTGATCCTCCGTAACCTTTTCTTCTTTTGAGACAGACTCAGGGAAAGTCCGATTTTCTTTAGGAATCACTGGTGCTGGAATGAGCACTGCACCTGTCCTGACATTTTGCAGAGACACATCGCCCTGTGTGTCTGCACTGGAGGAACACCTTCTGCAGCTATCCAGAGTGGACATCACAAAACTTGTCTGTCCAGAAGAACCTCTTGCTTCTGATACAGTCGTAGGTAATTGCTTCCTTGCTGGGACAGCTGGAGGACTATCTCTGACGTTATCATAAAAGGCTTGGTTTAAACACGGTCCTCTGTTTAATCTATTATAAATATTAGAATCAGCAGACACTGGCTCAACAGGTTGGGGGATCTGCGCCACAGGTTGCTGCTGAGGAGGATCCGGAGAGGCACCTTGAGTTCCAATGACAAACATTTGTTCGGCAGAAGGACTTGTGTGCGAACTTGACTTATTTTTACAACGCTTTATCATCTAACGAAAACAAAATTGAATGAGGTAGTTTCAGAATTGAATCAAACGCAATCTAAATGAATTGTGAATCTTACGTATTGCTTAGGTATCGATACATTGGTCAAAATTACTAATGAGACATTTTAAATGAGAGAGTGCTCTGCCAGGTGTTCAGTTCAAATACAAAACTCATACTTCTTACCAAAACGACTGCTATTAATATAACAGCTTCGATTGCCATACAACCAGTAATAATTCCTGAGATAGCTCCGTACGACAAGTGACGAGATTTCTTTTTACTGTCAGGTTTTACATCAAAACTGTGGCTTTCTTGTGTGGGATGTGAAATGACAGCTGTGCTTGGTGATTCGCTTGGGCAGATTTCGTTTCCAACTGTACCATATAGGAACATTAAAAAAAAAACATTATTGTTCCACAATGACTAATAATTAGAAGAAGGGATCTTGTATCGATAGATTTTGATGGGATCCTCGTTAAGGAAATTTTCATCTACGGCCCTCTGATTCATACAATGCAATCACAGAAGCTTTGGGTTCATTCCGTTGAAAAGTTATCTGAACTAAAAAAAAAGCAAAAGGGCACATAAAAGGTTATACGAAACACAGAAGTTCCAACGAAGGAATCAAGGCCTAACTCTCGACAAAACACGAGGAGAATGACAAGGAGAATGACGACCTCTACTGAAAGGTAAACAAGTCAACCTCAAGGTTTTTTCGCCATTTTTTTAGGCTGAACAATTCGGAAACTACTTTCATCTCGAATACCTTCCTTTCCTTTGAAGCACACGTCAGCACTTGCGCAGTACGCTTTCTCCAATGGTATATCGTCTTTGTTGTTCTCACACCAATAGCAACCAATGATGCCTTCGCACGTTTCTGAACTGTTCTTCTCGCTGCATTGGGGAACGAGGCAATCTTCCAAGACAGGATCTTTACATGAGTTAATTTGAACTATGTGGCTCGGAGCACCACAGGCAGCTGATAGGACCTCCTCTGCCGAGGGCGCACAAATAGGGAGACTGGAAAAATGTTTTTGTTAAAGTTTTAAAAACGTGGACTCTATCCAAACGAATAGCTCATGAAAGCAGCCCATATCATCTCTCTCTCTTTATGGAAGGAAATTGATAATTTCCTAGAAAGGTTAATGGGGTTAACTACCAGCTGTTGTTTATAAGCAAATGATCTTTAGCAATTCTTTGTCTCTTATTTCTAGCCCTGGCTGAGAACTGGGGCACTCTAAGAGTACATGAACAGTATCTTTTTCATGAGCAGAAAACTCAAACCTATTCATAGACAGTCCTTTATTATAAGCATTAAGGAAACTGCACCACTTACCAAATTGTCACCTAATGATGTCTAGAAATGAGCCCAAGATAGGTCAATGCTAACTACAATACTGGAAATCACACTTGGTTGACCAACCTGCTATCGTAAAACTCATTGTGGCAGTAATGGAAATCCAAACGAGACATGCAGGGACACTCACACGTCAAGTTGAGAGGGGAACAATTTTTATCAGTGGAACAGGAACACGGCTCTGGGTGACAAAACGAATCTCTGACAGTAACACCTAGAAACAGGCATTAAAAAGTGAGAATAGATATTTCATCTGACAGACTAACGGTGCCAGTGGTCGATTAAAGGCTGAGCACTGAATGATTGCTTGTCTATCTGTATGACTGAGTGACTGAACAGCGACTGACTGTCTACTGACGAACGGATCAGTCATTTTTTCCACCAGGAGGGTGGAGGGTGGGGGTGTCGAAGGGTTTTGGTTTTGTCACGATTTACCCAATCCCCTATTTAGCTCTGTAATATTCAAATGAACCCCCTTCATTGGCAGTGAGGTAGCAGTCAATTTTCAATGGTTCCCCTCCTTTATAATCCATTGGTGACGACTGATTCCTACTCCTCTCCCCCTAAGTGATTCCCCCTAAAAGCCTTACTACATAGCATTTTGTAGTGAAGTAGGTATCTTCAATACGAATTACTGTATCTATCCACATGAAAAGATAATTGTTCATACCTAAGAAGGCATTGGTTCCCATAATTTTCTGTAGTTGGTATTTCGAGCATCTTGCACCACTTTGAAGAGTGTCTGCTCCCCCGAGGGGCAAGGAGAGCTCATAAAAGCTTTGCTTTTGAATCTCTTCCAAATGACGACAGTGCTTTTTCACCAGGTATTTCTTTTTGATGAGGTCTTCTGCGATATTTTTCTCTTTCTCTGTGATATGCACATATTGTACATCAGACGATGTGGCTGACGCAAGTAAAAAGCCCTCATGCATGATAAGAAAACCACCGCTGTCCATTACGAAACAAGAGTATGTTTTGGTCTCCTTACACTTTGGATACACATCAGTTAGTAACCTGCCAATGATAATTCTAAATGTTACAAAACATAAGGTTTAACCCTTAAACTCCCAGATCAAATTTGTATTTCTCCTTACTGTCAACCATATAATTATCATAATGTTAGTTCAGAGAATTTTAGTGTTGGATCAACTAATTATCCTCAAATTGATATTTTTCCTATCACTTATCTGGTTGATATTGTATTGACATAGTAAGGAGAAATTCTGTCTTGGTCACTTATGGGAGTTAAAGGGTTAAGAAAGAGGTGTAACATATCAATTCCTACTGCTGATGGCGAAATGTTTCGTTTTTTATTGTACTTTCGATTGATTTTGCACAAAGAAAGCTTTCAACTCGTGTGATTATCTTTTTCAATTCATTGCAAATCAATGATAAAAAAGCCGTTTTTGCTGCAGTAAACGCTCCAAAAATCGCCTTAACTCAATAAACTCTACTCTTCCTTTCTTGTTCCAGTGTGTTAATGAACTAAAGGGCTGTAAACTAAAGATTCTCTCATCTCCCCCTAAAACCTAAATTGGTAAGCTCTCCTTGAAAGAAATTAAGGAAAATAATGAATCCTTAATGAGAGCTAACCAATCAGTAGTTTATCTTTGGCATTGAACTGAAATCTTAAACGATCGTGTCGATATTAAAATAGCTAATTCGCTATTCAATCAATCTTTTCTTCAATTACCAAATTAAAAAGGAATTGAGAACTGTCTAAATTCTCCACAGTTTTCATCCTGAACTGGAAGTCTCTTAGGATCAAATTCTGGTCTTTAAGAACAAGAGCACGATATAAAAGATGATTACCTATGAAAATACGAGAGAGGAAAGTCAGCTCCAATTACTCCCAACACTTCATCGTTTGTATAATGCAGATGACTCGGCTCTCCGCGGTATAGTGCACGGCTGGCGGTTACTACAACTCCGGCTCCACCCAGGTCTAAATAAGGAGCAGTTAGAGCAAGTAAACCCGTATGGGCCAAGGCAGAATAATACCTGAATAGAAGATGATAATGATATTGGTTTGTTGAAATAGTTCGAGGGGGAAAGTAACTGTTGAGTATTGGCTTGATTTTTGATGTTGGAATTTGTGGTAAGCTTTTAAACCCCGGATTCAACCATGGGTCAAAGTGATACCTTTTCCTGATTGTATGCATAATTTTGGTGACGTGAAGTATCATAATAGACCGACTAGTCTTCCTTGCAAAATATTTCAAGGAGGAGACACTGTCTTACCATGGCCTCTGCCTTGGATCGTAACGTTTGTCTATCACAACACCTGGAGAACTCCTGATAACTCCATTTGCTGTCCCGATGTATCTCCAAACCAAATATTGGCTAAGGTCAGTTTTGTCACTCAGCCACAGGTCTTCCACTTTCCATGTTGCTATTACAGTATCCCTGATGTCATTCTTCAGACCAGGATTTGTTACCTTCCCTGTGTCATCTTTCATGTACGCGATTAATAACTCTACGTCTGCCTTCGTCTCGTCTTTGCCAATATAGCTGTAGGGATCCTTATAAGCTCCTGGAGCAAACTTCACGGACGTGGTGTCTGTTGATAAAATATTGAAAAGTGCATTTTAGGGTAAGTCATCATCTATTACTTGGGGGGAGGAGTAGATGTTTCTTTCTGGGGATTACAGGGTATCTGTTGGGGGGAGGGTGGGGGATCAATTGTCACCAATAGAGCATAAAGGGGGAATAGACAAAATTGACTGCTTATTAAATGCGAATGAGTAGGGGGAGGGGGCGATCATAAAGATACAGGAAGAGATATGGGGGGCTCAGGTATGTAACTGATCCCCCCCCCTCCGTATCGGAAGCTTAAGACAATGGCATAGAGTGGCTGTCTTTTTTGATGTAACTCATTTGAATATCACGTTGTCATTGATTCAGCTAGTTTTGCTTACTCTCCCATTTTCATTCTTTATCTTTACCTTTAGAAGCATTCGCTCCAAAGTGAGAGCATATCTTGCCAGTATGGTATAGGTCGATTCGATGGTAATTGAATGAGTAACCTGCCAAAACAATGTCATGAATAGAAGTTATTGTATGGTCTATTTAACAATTATTCCATGAGCGTGCGTTGGATTTGAGATAGAAGATAGCCAACGAGGCTATAATAATAATTTCATATCCAACAAGCGCGGTATGATATAATGGCTTATA